CACACACACACACACACACACACACACACACACACACACACACACACACACACACACTTACAAACACACACATACACAAACACACGCGCATACATTCATAAATTTCATATTCATGCACAGACACACTCTCAAGTGCAGGCACACACATACACATACGCACACACACAGCACACCTACACACACATAAGTGGGGCGTTGGGGTTTGGGGGATGTGGGGCAGATGGGAGATGCTTAAGGGGTTGTTGTTGTTGTTGTTTTTGTTTTTTTTTTTGCGTAGGGCCACGCGTTCCGGGCCCCGCGCATCAATTCCGTTTTTTCCGAAAAGCGCGGGAGCGGCCCATTTTCGCGTTTAATGTGAATTCAACGGGATTTTTTTGAATGTAACGGGATTCAACGGGAGTTTAATTCCCACGTTCTCCGTTAGAAAGATACATAGGTCCTTTCTTCGCTTTCCTTACGTTGGCTTCTGTTGGTTTTCTCTTCCGTTTCTTCTTGCAGATCCCGTTTTACTGTGCCTCTCACGTACAAGTCTCACCACCTTGATTGTGGTTGACCAAGGGCTGCCTACATCACCCTGTGCCATAACAGCCCGCTTGCACGCTGTGAAAAGGAGGCAGAGTGAAGAGGGAGATATACTGCTGTTAATTTTTCAGCACACTTTCACCTTATATCTAACTGTCATGCTCATTCATAGGCATTCAGGGGGGGACGAAGGCGAAGGGAAAGAGGAGGCAGCGGACGGACAAAGAATCGAACATAGGAAAGACAAACTTCACAGGGAGGGAGGAGGATAACGGGAGGGAGTGGACGAAGGGACAAAGAACAGAACAGAGGAAAGACAGACTTCACAGTGTTCTCAGTACTCACCGCCAGAGCAGCCTACTATGGAATGGCACAAGAGGCCAGTCAGTGTTTGGGTTGCAGAGATGAACGAGTTCAGGAGCAGGCGTTGCCTGGACAGGACCAGTTTGGAACACTGTGGAAGCAACACATCCAATTTTGGGAGTCGCAGTTGCTGCACCGAACGGCACGGTGAAGACAGTTGTCACATTGTACGTGGCTCCCACCTGCTAGGAACACACGGGGATGCCGACCACAATCGTATAGGTATTGCTGTTCCAGCCCCTGTCTACAAATAGGACATGTCATGTCAGGGCGTCATACATGAGTACAACGCAGGCTTTCATCATACGTAACAAAGACTTGCATGGTTTATACCTTCATAATCCTCACGACACGAAGCATGCCAATCACATGCCAGCCAAATCTCAGGTGGGCCATCACAGTACGGTATTGAGCAAGTTTCTTGAGTTCTGCAGCCGATATTCCCTCTCTACGGGACCCGAGGGTTGATCCAAAGCAAGGGTGTTTAGTTGTGTCAAGACCCGAGGGTTGATCAAAAGCAACGGCGTTTAGCTGTTGCAAGATCTGGTCTGTAACGACTCGCCCTGGCAACAATAACCTTTTAGTACAGTGCACTGTTGGTGATTCCTGTGAGGGTCTATTTTCCACCTCAGGCTGCTGCGTCTGTTGCTCGTCTGGCGAGGATGAAGGAGATCCGCTTGCGGGTGGAGGCGGAGGATGCCCAATGTTGTTGTGAGACAGCCAGAGGTGATGGCATCGGGGATAGTCCATGCAGTAGAGACGCGTACTTTCCATGACAGCTTCCTGGAAACATTGACGACACATGGCATGTTGGTGACATGCCAGCAGGAAAGCAGCCCGGCGTTCGCAGTTATTGAAGCATGGCATGTCAAGGCCACAAGGTATACCGGAAAAGCAAAAGTGGGTGGGGGGGATGAGTGCGAGTGTGTTAGTACCATCCAGTCCCCTTAGTACGACCCTCACTGCATGGTACTGCCCAGTCCAATATGATACTGGCTAGTCAACATAGTATCACCCACACCATGATCACCCACACCACATGATACTGCCCAGCCCACACAGTACCGCCTGGCCAAATACTGCCTAACTTTGGCCATGTGTTTTCTTTTGTGTGTGTCTTGTCAGTCGATGACTCCACGCACATGTGGAATGTTCACTAGAGAGAGGCCCATGGTCAGCCCACATTGTATAAGGCCTACCATTGTTTTCTTTTTTTTTTACTCGGGCGCAATGCCACCGGATAGATGACAGAGTGGCAGGAAGGGTAGGCGGAGGACACAACAGGAGTGAGAGGAGGAGAAGGACGTAATGGAGGAGAAGGGGCGGGAGGAGCACGCCGCAAAGGAAGGGGAGGTGGCCAAGGAGGAGGACGATGGGGGAGCAGCCTGGAAAGGAGGTGGCAGAGAACAGGGAGGAGGAGGAAGTGGCGGATGAAAGGGGGGGAGGAGGAGGAGGAGGAGGAGGAGGAGCAGGTGTATGCCATGGAGGTAGCCGCAACGAGCATCCACTTATTCTTCATAAATACCTCCGCGGCGAGCATCTGCTTGTTCTTGATAAAGCTGAATATCCCTACTGTGAAGAGACCTGATCACGACTTGGAGAGCATAGCTGAGTTGAGCGAAAGGCCATTGTTGTGCTTGCAAGTGGTTTATGAGGGCACCTTCTATCCAGGTCCGAGACTGAAGGGTGACAAACCACTAAGCAAGGTGCAGATTAGGAAAGATTGTTTCGCTGAGTCACCCAAAGGATTGGATGAAGAGCTGGTGAAGATTTGTGTGCCTTGAGTGCAAAGGAGAGAAAGGCAGAACATCAGTGTGGAGATAGCCCTAGCGTTGATTAATAAGTGCAAACAGGCATCCTTTCGATGACTGCTGTGCAATCTGTGAAGGCGAGGCCTTCGAAGACATTCTTCACTGTCTGCTTCGCTGCTCTAAGGCATAACAGTTGTGGAACCTTTTGGACCCATTTAAGACGGACATCCTGGGGAATAACTCCCTCGGGCGTGAGTGTGGCGCCGCATGCAGAGGCTAGTATAACCTCCGGCAAGCACACAATGTACCACACCAGGGCTGTGACCAAACTTCTATAGATTGTGGAACAGTGGTAACCAGGGAAAGAAGGGAACCATATGTTAGGGGGACGCCAGTCTAGCACCTTCGTGGTCGCCTGATAAAGGGATCTGGGCCCTGTTGTATAGCTGGGGGGAGAGCTGTGCTTGTGGTTGCGCCTCAGCAGCGATTCTCCAAGCTGACACGGACCATCCTCCACGGGATCCCGGGGCACCAGAGCAGTGTGCCACTGGGGGGCAGCAATGGAGGGCTGACCGGCCCCTATTACACTGCATGGTATCACTGTCAAGCAAGGGATAAAATGTATGAGGCTAACGTAGGCAGGGGTGAGGGGTGTTACAACCTTCCCGATGGGAAGCATTCAATGCTGTCCACTCGGACCTGGAAAAGGAACCGGACTGTTGCTCCCCAGAATAGAAGGAGCCTTGCTTTATTTTAAAAAAAGTTAAAAAAAAAAAAAAAAAAAGTGCATGGCCATCTAGGATGCTGGCCAACAGACTCCAATGTATGGCTATATGTCAGACTGTCAAGATGTTGTGACAACCTGTAAGCGTACCAACGTTTGCAGCAGATTGGCAGGTTGTGCGACGTTTTTTTTTTTTTTTTTTTAACCAACTGGTGCTACGGCAAATTGTTGCTGTAGCTGCCGAAGACGTGTTCTTAGCTCGTGAAGCAGCCTGGGTAGGTGCCTGGTACGCAGAACTGAGAAGATTTTGTTCCCATCTTGAAAGAATTGCAGTCCGCCATCGGCACAATTGGGAGAGACCGCCAGTGATTCATGACTCGTTGTTGGATGCTGATCTCATTCTTGCTATACACTTGGCCATATGTTCACACAGACTAACCTTCAGTGCTTTCATCACATCTGTGGTGTAGGCATTGAGGCGATACTCGTGTTTTGCAAATTAACCCAATATCAACACCAGATCCACCCAGCCAGTGCTCACTGCCCTAGCTGGTTCCTTTTCTAGTTGAGGGCGGTACTGGAGAGGAGAGGCGAATCGGATAGGGAAACAATGGGGTGAGGGAGGATGGTGAACCTTTCACGAGGAATTTCTGCATTTTAAGAGCAGTCTCTAGATCCAATGCTGGCATCATATACTTGGTCATTACTTGGCTCGCTCCACTACCATCAGGCAAATTGTAAACATCCTGTGGCTGCTGCCCCAAACCCCAACATTCCCGCAGACAATCCAAGGAAGAAAACAAAAGCCAACAGCTTCAAGTAAGAAACTGCAGAGAACTATTGTTTGCTGAAGTAAAGACCCAGAGGAGAGGGAGAAAACTAAGCAGCAGCAAAAATAACAAATAAAATAAAAACAGAGAAGAGGTGTTCACTGAAGCTTGAATGCACCAAAAGAAAGAAAACACAGAGAAAGGGAAGCACTCATGAATGCACACATGACTATGGACCTTCGTCAAGGGCTGATGTGCTCATGGTCCAGTGATATACGAGACTGAGAAGGCATAGGTTAGACAAAACCGAAAAAAAGACCAATGAAACATAGAAAATGAAGAGAGAGAGAGAGAGAGAGAGAGAGAGAGAGAGAGAGAGAGAGAGAGAGAGAGAGAGAGAGAGAGAGAGAGAGAGAGAGAGAGAGAGAGAGAGAGAGAGAGAGAGAGAGAGGAGCTCCGGCATGCAGATGTGAGCCTGTGGAAAGGGAGTCTCGACTCTCGAGTGCACTATTCCGTGCAGAGCAGCAAAAATGTGGGCATGAGTGTGAGCTGCATTGCTGCGTATCATTCAAATACAACCCGTGGGGACCAAGAAACCTGTGCAGTGATCGAGTAACCCTGTTACAGTCGTAGACCCTTTAACTGCTCAGAAACTGAAGACAGGAGGGCAAGTTCTGCTACTTGGCATTGGGTGCTATTCTCCCCTTTCCCGATCATAATTTCGACAAAAGTCAAGTAGAAATCTGTAGGATAAGACGAAATGAGATAGGATAAGCCAAAATATGATAAAGTAAGGTAGCATAAGACAAAATAAGGTAAGATAAGATAAGAGTCATGAGACAAGATAAGCGAAGGTACGATAAGGTGGATGTGAACCAGGTCTGTGATTAGGTTGCAGGCTGAAACGGGTTGACAACTTGAGAAAAATTTAAATGCAGTACAGAAATTTTGGGCCAATCGCAGTCCCCGTCGACAAGTGCCGGGGCGTTTGGCTACCAATCGCCACACAGGAGAGCCGGCATACTTGTGCATGGTCATGAAAACAAAAGGGATAGAGATCATGAACAGAATGAGCATATGCAGGCCATCGTCCTCTCCCAGAGTTCAGGGCACACACTCGTTCTAACTCTGGCTCTGACCATGATTAGCCGACAAATGTGCACGGCCAAGCCAGCAGGCAATCTTCCGTATTAGGAGAGGTCTATCAGGGCACAGAGTTCTCCTCCACCCTTCAGGTCGTTTCTACTGGATGTCCAAGACACACAGACCTGTGAGGAGCTGACAGCATCTGCTTGCCGTCATTGTCTATACTTAGGTGTAGACCCTCATGTAGGCCGTTGTCCCACCAGCTGGGATCAGGATCGAATTTCTACAAGTGGTTTGACACGCCGGATAATGAATCCATTATCTGATTGAATCTGACGGTCACAATCCGCCACAAGATGTCGTGTCTGAGCCGCCTCTCAAGAAGAAAAAGAATTCTGTTTTACAAATCTCATCTTCAATCCCAACGAAGCGAAAAAGAAAACACAGCTGCGCCCCACAGAGAAACTGTAAGAACTGAGCTAACGAACAGAGAAAAGCATGTGCGCGTACAGACAGGCAGACATAAAGACAGACATACATAGAGACAGACATAAAGACACAGACATAGAGACAGATGGACAAATGGACACACACATGGACACACACACACACACACACACACACACACACATGTACGATAGCATAGACAAATGTAAACAGGACAAGCCTACACGAATGGGGCACCACGAATGTGACTGTCCAGCAAACGGACACCATCATCTCCACAGCCCTCTCCGCATCCACCTCTTCACCATCCCCACCTCCCGCCTCTAGTTTTCTCCACCTCCTGCCAAGAGTGACCCAAACGAGCACGCGCCTTTTCATCGGGTTCTACGAGTTCGTGCACAAGGGAGACTTTTCTCAACATGTAAGCGAGCTGGGTGTTTGCTCTCATTCCCCAACTACATCTCCACGGGCATGCTCGGTGAAGAAGAGCACATCTCCGAAGCACCTAACATCTTATTGTGGCTCTCGAAGATGACAGGTCTCTCGTTAGATGAGGGTGTCACTGAAAGTTGGGCCGTCCTCTCTCTTATCTCTTGGGGGGAGCCTCAAAGAAAAGTTTTGCAATCCAACTCGAACGTTGAAATCTGTCATCTAGTGACATCCGCATCCCCTCCCGGTTTTCCATCAGCATGAGCTGCTGCATGAGCGTCGTCTGTTACCTCTCCCAAACTTACAGGCCCGCCCCTAGCCCTCTCCTCTCTCAGATACCCTCCACTTCCTCACCGATATCAGGAAATTTGCACCCCTACCATTTGCTTCTTTCCTGTCCCACCATAGCTTGCTTCCCTGGTCTCACGAGGCAACAAACCCGATGCCTTCACTAACACCCCCCCCCCCCCGGCTTTCCATCAGCATGAGCTGCTGCATGAGCGTCGTCTGTTACCTCTCCCAAACTTACACGCCCGCCCCTAGCCTCTCCTCTCTCAGATACCCTCCACTTCCTCACCGATATCAGGAAATTTGCACCCTTACCATTTGCTTCTTTCCTGTCCCACCATAGCTTGCTTCCCTGGTCTAACGAGGCAACAAACCCGATGCCTTCACTAACAAACCCCCCCCC